AAAAAAAAAACCATAGAATTATTGAAAGTCAAAAATTAAGAATAAGTCACTTGTCGGCAGCACACAAACAAAACAGACATAAATAATAATGAAGAAATAAACAAAGTAGTATAAATGAAGCAGCATCATTAATCGAGTAATAAGGATGTCAACTTATCAATCAATGACAGCTTAAATAGTGCTTTGAAACCACAAACAAAGCATAATCATTTTATTAAGAATATATAATTCCGATTTAGCATCATTTAAAAAAACCTTCAAAAGGATCGATGCTCATTTATTAGTACTACTAAATTAGTGCGGCACCGTGCGATGCAAGGGCTAGTAATATTAATGAAAATATTTTGATTTGAACGATGTGATCATTGTACAACACATAAAACACATTTATTTGAAATAAAAAATGTTATTTATATATTATTAAACACATTTTATACACAATATTTTTTGTTTGAGTGGGTTAAGATGATTTATAAAGATTGATTTGTATCTATCGGGATTAGTGTTTAAAGCATGAGCTATATTTACGCTGAACATTTGTTCAGATTTAAGGGGAGCCGGTGACTTGCAAATAAAAAAATCAAACTGAAAAAATGCCACACTTACGTCCCAAAATGACTATGAAAAAAATAAATATCACACTTTATAGTTGTATGTATGTAAAAAAATAGTGTCTTGAACCGATTTTTTACTGTGTATAAATCTCTTACTTGAAATTGAATATTATTTTTTTACCCGATTTACAGTTATATATATATTTTTTTATGACAATAAAAATTAAGAAAAAAATATACAACTCTTTAGTAGTGAAAAAATATTTTTATATAAATCAACAATGAACAGATAATTTAATAAATAAAATGTGTTGTATGAATTTTTAAAAATTTCATACAAGCTCCCAAAATAAAAAATTGAACAATTATTGAAATATATTAAAAACTAATATTTGAAATAACTTGAAAAAATAAAAAATAATATAATCGAAATCGCTGGAAAAAAATGTCAAATGATATGTAAATTTTGTATTCACCATAATTAAAAAGTTGAAAAGGAATTAATTTAAATTTTTACTACTATATTTATTTAGTAAATATGTAACCTTGTTATATAATAATAGATATAACGCACAAAAACTTTCCTACATATATAGTATAATCAAATAAATTTTACTTCAACATATTTGTACTTCAAAGCTTCACAAATGCTTAATGAGGTTTGTACCTTTTTTCCCAACAAATTCTCTCCTTTAGAATTTAGTTAGCTATTAGTTTGTGTACTATTACCTATAGACTTATAGCAAAAATCTTGGCTAATAGACTGAAAGAGGTGCTCTATTGTTGTATCTCTCCAGCCCAAGCTGCATTTGTGCCTGGTAGACAAATTCTAGACAATTGTATTATTGCCAATGAATGTGTCCATTTTCTTAATACCAGGCACAAAGGTAAATCTTGTTTCATGGCCTTAAAACTTAATATGGAGAAGGCTTATGATAGATTAGATTGGAGCTTTTTGATTAAAGTCTGTAGATATATGGGTTTTTCTGACATCTTTCTTAGATGGATAACAACCTGCATTAGTACATCTTCTTTCTCTTTCATCTTTGGGGGGCAGATTTTGGGGCATGTAGTTCCTTCTAGGGGACTTAGGCAAGGCTGTCCCCTCTCTCCATATTTATTTATCATTGCTTCTGAAGTTCTTTCTAATCTTATATCCAAAGCTTGTGCTTCTAAGACCCTTTGTGGAGTTAAAATTAGTAGGCATTCTCCTCCAATCTCTCACCTATTTTTTGCTGATGATGCCTTGCTATTTTGTAAAGCTGATTTGTCTCAAGCTACTCTGATTTTTGACATTATCCAGTCTTATTGTTCAGCCTCTGGGCAAGCTGTAAATCTCCATAAATCCAGTATTTTCTTTTCTAAAAATTCTGCTGATTCTTTGAGGAAGGAGATTTGTAATGTTTTCCCTGGTATTGCACTAGCAAAATTTTCTAGATATCTGGGGTTTTCTCTAGGAATTTGAAAATCCAAAAAAGATACTTTTTCTTTTGTTAAAGAATGTGTTATTTCAAAAATTGCCAATTGGAAAAATAAATATCTTAGTGAGGCAGAGAGGGAGGTGCTAATTAAAACAGTTCTTGTTGCTATGCCTACTTATGTTATGTCTTTATATAAGCTTCCTATTGGGTTATGTG